GAGAAGTTGCAGCCAAACTGCCCCCGTTTGCTTTTCCAAGTCCCTCATCAGTCCCTGAAGGAGCCCTGTGGCGTTGGGGTTACACATCTTGCTGCTAACCAGTGTTCAAACCTATCAGTGGGTCAAACCTAGGTCAGTGGTTCAAACCTACCAGCCACTCTGTGCGAGAAAGAAGAGGCTTTCTTACTCCTGTAAAGATTTGCCATTTCAGAAACCCAGAGGGGCCATTCCGCTGTCCAAAAGGGTGGCTGGGAGTCGGAATCAATTAGAGGGAGTGAGGTTTCGGTCTGTCTGTTTGACCAGCCCCGGCCCACCGAGAACATCTTCAAAAGGCAGAAGTGCATTTTGAGGGAGGGGAAATCAGGGACACAGTGGTGGCAGACCCGCGTGCTGAACGTACTTCTCACCACTGAACTGTCCCTGCAAAGACGGTTGAAACAGCTGGTGTTTTGTATCTTGGGGAGAACATGGCAAGGGGGACATGGAGGCCCAGATTGGTCCCAGTTCTCTAGCTGGAGGCTCTGCATTTTAGGAATGACCCCAGTCGGGCACACCCCAGGCGGCTGGTCACCCTCGTTCTGAACGACGTCTCACCTGTGCCAGCAGCCAGTCCACCAGCTTGCTCCCGGGCAGCACCGACTTATAGGTCTTGAGGTGATAATCCCGATCCCTGCAGGAAGAGGAGGCGTATCATGAGTGGGAGAGAACGGGACAGGGGCAGTTCAAAGTACCCCTCTCCCCACCCCACCCCCAACAGCTAGGACTCAGTTTTTCTGGGCATGGCAGAGGGAGACGGGGATGGAGAACACGCAGCATCAAGCCAGGGTCCTGGGTCCCACCAGAATCCACGCCTCACCTGCCCTGGGACTTAAGGCAGGTAGGCAGAACCCTTCCCAACCCAGGCCTCCACTCCCAGCTCTAGAGAGAGGACAGGAAACTCTCTTCTCTCTAGCTGGGGCTTCTTGGGCCCCTTGGGGGAGACACATGTCTGCAGCTGGGGGGGAACTGAGGATGCCGACGTCTGCTGGGTAGGGGTCAGCGTGGCTGCAAGAACACCCTGCAGTGCACAGCCTCAGAGAAGCACCCAGACTCAAGCATCCACAGGGCTGAAGCCGAGACCCCCTGGGAGACCCTGCCGGAGTCAGGAGAAGAGCTCTCCTTCCCGCCCTCTGACTGATTTTGCTCCCTTGTGGTGTTTGCATGTTCACAGGGAGCAAGCAGTGCTGGAGGAGAAATACCTTGGGGGGGGGGGGAGTATGGGGGGGGTGCATCAGGACCCAGCAGGCAGCGAGCAATACCTGGGAGGGGCAGGGTTCTGCCCTGTCAGGGCATCTAACCCCTCACCGGGCTGGGCTCCATGGGTTGTACCAATCCTGTGGCCTAACAAGCCCTCCTCAGCCTCTGGGGGTGACGATGGAAATGAGGGTGTCAGGGCTGATAAACCAAGTCCAGGCAGGTATTCTCCTCGGTGTGTGGGGGCTGGGCACCCCAGGGCAGTCAGTGAAGGTTCACTGCCCACCTCCCTGCTGCTCCCCTGACCAGCAAGGGCCAGGGGTCAGGCCTCTAGCAGCACCCACCCACCACCCAGCCCCCGAGTCCCCTGTGGAACGAGGGCGTGTGTGGAGGAAGCAGGAGGGAGGGAGTAACTTGGATGAGTGGCTCCCAGGCCTGACCTCCAGGTAGACCAACACATCCCCTCTCCTCCTCTGAGAAGGGGTCAGGGTCATCAAGACCTAAGCCCGAGGAATTGGCAGCTGGACCCCTACACCCAGGGCTCCTGAGAACCCTGTCACCCTGGCCTCACACCCCCAATTAGAAGGGTAGTGGCAGAGAGAGAGGGGCCCCTTGCTGCCATTGTCAGAGTGCTCGGAGCGTGCCAGGCACCGGTCAGGGCACAGCCCATGAGCATCAACCCCCATGTGGGCCGAGGGGCAAGAGCTCTTCTTGTGCCCATTTCACAGCTGCAGAAACAGAGGTGCAGGAAGTGAGCTCTCATCCAACACGGGCTCAACTCATGGTTACTGACCACACTTCCGCCCAAGGAGCCCCGGCAGTGCGGCGGCTCCATGCCTGGCTGCTCACCCTAGGTTGGCAGTGTGGACCCACCAGCCACCCTGCGGGAGGAAGATGGGGAAGTCTGTGTCCATGGAGATGAGAAGGAACAGTTCCATGCTGATCTGACCCACAGGGCGGGACGTGAGTGGGAATCCCCTGGACGGCTGCAGGTGACTGCCCTGGGAGTCCCCGGGGCTGCTAATTGTTCGCGTGACCCAAAGGTGGGGAGTTTGAGTCTGCCCCGAGGTGCCGCAGAAGACAGGTCTGGTGATCAGCCCAGAAAGACCCTGGGAACAGAGTCCACTCTGACACACACGGTCACCACGAACCCAAAGCGCCTTGACCAGAACCAAGGCTGGTGGGGGAACTGTGGTCCCTGTCCCCGGTTACTCTGAGCCGGCCCGGTGCCACCCTCCACGTGTGGCTGTTTTCATTGAAACTCCAGTCCAGCACTCTGAAGCCAAGTTCAAACTCACATTCTTCTGTGTGGCTAATTGGCCCCCTGCACAACAGCCTCCCCTGGGATAAGAACGGAAGTACTGGAGGGTGCCGGGCTCTGGAACTGAGCCTGTTCATGGAAGCGCCAATGGAAGAAGCCTCACCCAACGGTGGGGGATGAAGAACCAACTTCAAATTCACACGGAATGGGGGCTTTCTAGAGTCACCGAGGCTGATGAGCCAACCAAAACAACTTTTTCCTCGAGATCATCTTTAAAACCTTAAACCAAGCGCGTGCCCTGAAGTCTCCTTAAGACCGGACAAGGGCAGTGTGGCTTCATTAGTATGGACGGAATGCCTGCCTTGAGCACCGTGCTCCTTCGCCGTCTATGGAGATGGGATCCCACTGACGACCACCCGGAAGGCCACAGAGACAACTCGGCGGGCAGTGGGTTCCCGTGAATGGAGAGGGAGCAAGTCAGGAAAGGAGGGCCAGCACGGTCATGGCCACACAGCTCCAAGGACGTCCGTGGATGGTGCGCGCAGGAATGGCCGGCTGGGGCAGGCCCACGGTGTCTTATTCTCAGCAACAACGAAAACGAGAATGGGGTCTGCGCTTCCAGACTGCCTTCCCCACAGCCACGTGTGTCCAATGGCTGCTGACCGCCCGGCACGTGGCTAGAGTTTCTTTTGGGAAGAGACATCCCATGGCGCAGTGCTGGGCCAGGTGCTGGACAAACGGCCATGGACAGATTCACACCCCCCAAATAGAAATGCAGAGACAACCAAATATGAGAGTGTCCGGCAGGGACAAGATCCAAGGGAAAGTCAAAGAGGAGTAAGGAGGGTGAGAGGATGGCAGGCTGGTGACGCTTTATAAAAGGGCTCTCGGGGTATCATCCTGGCCAGCTGGGGGGATTCAGAACCCACACCCTCCTTACAGAAACTATGGTGCAGTGTCTGCATATAGGGAGCCCTGCTGGGGTAGTGATTATGCATTGGGCTGTGAGCCCCAAGGTCCACAGTTCAAAACCACCAGGCACCTCTTGGAAACCCACCAGGGTAGTTCTACCCTGTCCTATAGGATGGGTAAGAATCACGGCAGAACGTTTGGTTTGGGTTTTATCCACACACCCTTCCAGATACCGAGTCACTTCTAAAGAACACCTAATACAACGTAAATGCAGTACAAATGGACAGCCTCGGAGGGACTGGTTGCTGTGACCACGCAATTGCTTCCGAGGATCCATTGTTTTGATCCATGGCTGGGTGAATCTTAACTCCTGTTAAGACTGAC